TCAAACAGTTTCACTTTTGTTTCTACTGCCTGTCCCTCCCTTCTCACATTTATCTCCAGACTTCTTCTCCTTGTCCAGATCTATTCCGCCCCCAACAATCTTCTGTTCATTGAACTTTCTGAAACTTTGCACTTTTAGAGAGGTAAGGGATTGACTGTGTACACAAATTTGCGGGGTACAACAAGGTTGAGGTCTGTTTTTTTCTCACCTCCATATATATATATGTTTGCTGTTAACAAGCATGTTATCTCTGGAGACACAAATCCAGTTTGAGAACTGCAAAATGAAGCATCTCTGATAGTATCTTCTAGACTGAGCACTGAGTCCCATTGGTAGATAGAAAGATTAACCTAAATAATCTATACAGAAGCCCCTGGAACCCTATAAAATTGGGTCCTTAATCCATGAACTATTGGTTCTCATTTACAAAACTTTTCTTAAACATTACATGAATATATCGTCTTATACTATAGAATTAGAATTTATAATCCCTATTCCATGATGAGATATCTTTGAGCTATAATGTATCTTAATTAAAACTATCTTTAGATAGGTTTTTTTCTCAAAAAGCATTTTATCAAAAAAATCTGATTTTTTTTATTAAAAAAAAACATTGATTTTTATCCACCCTGTTAGGTAGTGTGACAAAGTTCCTCCTCTATCTTGGTGGGTCCTGCGCTTATTGGCAGATTTTCTTGCCTCAGAGTTCACCATGTGGGTTGGGGGAACAGCCCAGAGACCTTCCCCTCTGGAAGAACCCACAGTCCAGGTCAATTGGGAGGTTTGAGGGGAACCCGGGCCCGCCCTCTACGCCAGGTTCCAGCCCAGGGCCCTGTGGACTGCAGCTGTCTATAGTGCCTCCTGTAACAGCTGCATGACAGCTACAACTCCCTGGGCTACTTCCCCATGGCCTCCTCCAAACACCTTCCTTAGTCTCACCACAGGACCTTCCTCCTGGTGTCCGATAACGCTTGTGCTCCTCAGTCCTCCAGCAGCACACCCTCTCAGCTCCTTGCGCCTCTTGCTCCCAGCTCCTCACGCTCACACCACAAAGTGAAGTGAGCTCCTTTTAAAAACCCAGGTGCCCTGATTAGCCTGCCAAAATTGATTCTAGCAGCTTTTTCTTAATTGGCTCCAGGTGTCCTAATTAGCCTGCCTGCCTTAACTGGTTCTAGTAGGTTCCTGATTACTCTAGTGCAGCCCCTGCTCTGGTCACTCAGGGAACAGAAAACTACTCATCCAGTGACCAGTATATTTGCCCTCTACCAGACTCTTGTACCCCACTGGTCTGGGTCTGTCACAGTAGGCTGTTTGTATGGTTTGAATAATAACCCTCCATTCTTTGCCAAGTAAGCAGGAGGAAGTATCCCAAAGGTATGCTTAATGGCGACCAAGCTAAAACCAAGATTTGCACAAGAGAGTGCATCAGAAAAGTAAGTCAGCGTAGGTAAGAAGATTAAGAAATGAAATACTGATGTAACCAGGAAGATGTCTGGTTTTACTTTTAAATGACTACAGTGGTGTGAGGGATCTTCTTGGTGTTCTGCTGAAAGTTACTGTAGAAGAAAGCTATTCTGATTATAGTATTTTCTGCATTCTGTCCCCATGCAACAATCCATCGAAGAGACTGTCTTACTTATGCAGAATATGACACCAAATATTACACCTAAAAATACTGCCAATTGGCAATAAGAAGGCACAAAATACAGTGTGAATACTGTATATCTAAAACATCTGTTATACAGTCTTCCCATTCATTCAATTAACCTTACCGGCACAGTCCCCCTCATCTGTCTTTTAAAGAAATGACAAGACAAACTTCACTTGTCCAAATTAAACCCCTTCACCAAATAAAAAAGGAAGGTATTGCCACTACATGAAATTCGTACACTTTGGGACTTAATCTCTAGCAAACTTGCAGATTCAGAAGGCTTACATGTCTGAGAGATTTGCAATTAGTTTTAACCCCTAGAATGCCAGCAATTTCGAGGCTGGTGACAACCAAACATCTATTGTGGAGGTTATGTGGCCACAGTCTCCAAAGTGTTAAGGTCAATAAATGCTTTGTCATAGAATTATAAGATGACTTACACCAGCACATGGCCAATCAGAAACCATTCGGCAGTTTGACAATTAAAGAAAAACAAACACCGACACAAGGAAAGTTGTCAAACCAAACAAGACAGTCTAATAAATTCCTTTTTCCACTGGTACTAAGGAATGTATTGGCAAAACTCAAAGGTATGGAAACATTCCACTGTCTCTTCCGCAGCCTTCTATGACAAAGAACCCAAAACAGCAGCCCATATTTTTAAAAGTGGACTATTATTTTCATTTATTGATTTTAAAAAAAGAGAAAATATCTGAAAATAAATTACCTAGCCCAATGTTCTACATTATATTTGGAATGGAATCAGGCCACATTCAAGGTTGAGATAACTTATGAATGCAGCATATCCACTAGTATATATAGGCACTGAATGCAGTATTTCTGAAATACCACATTGTCTTGTTTGCCAAATATTAAATATCAGACAAAAAGTAACACACCATGCTAATGTTTTCGAGAAGGGCCGCTGAACATTAAGATCTAGACTTGATTTAGACTAGACTTTGGGATTGGAGTTCAAATCAAAAGAATGTTGGAGACTACACAGTTCCAAATTTCATAATCTGTTCATGTGATATGCTGAAAATCTCATGAGAATGATTATCACTGCAAGACTTCAGCTGCATCTAAAATAGAAGGTACACTCTTACTCATTTCGCACCTCAACTGAAGTGCAAAAGGGTTAGCACTTATTCAAGTATACTATGGATTTGAAATTCAGTTCTCAGACAATTTCCAATAAGCATGGCTATTTTCTATTCACACTACTAAAAATCATCTTCACAGTAAACACATGCCACATAATCTCCTTGGGCATCCTAACTATACCGCAAACCACAGACCTATGATATATTATTATTATTTGTAGCAATGATCGAACTGTGTTCACAGTCTCTTAGTCTGGCTTTATTTGTAAATCTCGGCCACCCAAAGTCTATTATCAGTTGTTTTTTAGTCCTGCCTGGTTAGCTTGGTGAGCTTCAGTGCTGAAGTTTTCTATTAAAAAACCCACTTAATTCAATTGTCATAAAATAATTAAGTGAACATTCCAACACAAAATTGGACAACAATTATTTGTGCAATTTTCACTGCCCAACACATCAAGGTTGGTGTTTTATACTGTGAGGTTACTAGATAATTAAGAAATTATTTCAAAATTTACATGAATGCCTTGCATTTTTGTTTATGTGCAACTTCTTAAAAAAAATCCCTTATTTTAAATGGCATTCCTACAAGAAAAAAGAAGTGGTAAACTATTGTGTATCAGCTTGAAAAAGCCCTTTAGTCCATCCTTTTTCCTCTCTCTCTAATGAATTGCCAATTCACTAGGGCAAACAGTATTCACTGTCCTCTCTTCTGCTGAGAGTCAATTAGGTTTGGCAAAGAGAGACTGTAACTTCCATGCAGTCAGCAAACCCTTTCTCTCAAATGGTGAAATTCATGTTGACTAAACCAAGTAAGGATTTCTGAGTGAATGTCAGCCAAAGCTGTTAAAATCACTCACAATGAGAAATCTTTAGTTGCCCTGAATGAAAATCAGTATGTGGGCACCATGCATGGTGGGTCTGTCACACAAACAGATGTAATGTAGTGCAATCTATTTAAAAAGCATCCAAGTAACTGTCAAAGTCAAAAAATGGACATACTCCAAGGCGTCTATGTCCAGACTGCAAATTTCTGATGCACAAATTCACTATTGTGAACCTTGAAGAATCCACTACCCCACTTACAGTCATACTGGGTTTGAGAGGGGAAATATATGTGAAATTGGAACAAGAATATGGTTCCAATTCCAAGGGCTGCTTTAACTTAGATGGGGCAGAGGAAGTCAAGAATAAACTATTTCTATATTCATCTGTCTACACCGCTGTTTCCTTAAGGGATAAATGATGAACATTTTTAATATAACAGACTTTAAACGACACCCCCTTGTTGGTAATATTTTATCTTGACTTAACTAGATTTTCTGCACTCGCTAGGTCCTATTCCGTTTTACAAACACTGCTTTCCCATGCTGTGTCAGACTGGCACAGGCTACCATGAGTGCATAGTGTTGGTTCTGCAGTATCCTGAGCGTTAGCTATGAATATACAGATGAATCAGCAGAATTCCGGAGCTGTCTGCCATAGCAGCACAGCAAAATATTACAGGATCATGCACTGTGGTCAGACATTCTTGAGTCTCACCCACAGAACAGTAGTTTTAAAAAATAAGATGTAAAATCCAGGGTATGTTTCTAATACTTTAAGACTGGTCAAATATTGAGGCAGTTGATAGAATCCTTTTTAACTTGCTAAGGATGGAGGGAGAGCAGAACCTGAACCTATCTGAGCATTTCTATTCATAACCACACTTAAGCACTCACTTAACTTTAAGCATATGTCTAAGTGAGGTCCTAAGTAGGGATGCAGTTAAGCATTTAAGTGCTTTTCTGAAATAAATGTATAGTTAGCTGGAATGGGAACTGGAGAGAAGTGTTGCAGAATAACCCTCAGACAATAATCAAGTTATTGGGTGCATAAGATTAGCATGTTTAATTAGAAGAGCAAAGATTAGCTGGGTTGCAGGTTTTCCACCCTGTCACTCAATATTATGGAACCAGTAAACAAAACAATTTTTACTGATTTGTTTGTCCTTTCAGTTGGTTTCCATTCTCCAAACAAAACTCTCATCTCATAATCCTATGCTCTATCACGGCAGAGTTGGCAACTGTGGTTAATCCTCTGCACTAAAATAGCTGCTAATTTTTTTTCCAAAGTAAATAAAAACGTTTCCGCATACTGTAGGTACTATAACAGCAACACATAAATCCTCCAGCCAACAGTTTCTTTCTACAACACTCCCTCTCACTCTTTTTAAAAAAAGGTAATTTAAGTCTGAAATACTACACCTCCTGTGCTATTAATCCTGGAAAGCTTCCAGCTTCCCTTTTCCATCACAGTCCATTTATTTTGCTTGAAGTTTCCAACAATGCTCTCTACAAAGAAAAGTCACAGACAGAAAAAGAATATCACTGCTGGCAATGCCCAGTCTTTGGGGTTTGCTGTATGTACATGCTCCACTGTGGAGGAGCTTGCAGTTAAGCTCTTATCAGTCATATCAATGAAGAGCAAGGCACTTGGACAACTTCTCCAACAAATTTAAAACCTGAATTATGATGGTGGGTTTAAGGGCACCATAAAATTACATTCCCATTTTGCTCAGGGCTTAACAACTCTTTCCCCAGAGCAGGGTTTTATAGTCAGGTTTTTCTGCTGCATTCTGGATCCATCAAAACAGCCACTAGACAAGAAAGTCCTCTTTAAAGTTGTGTATGGGTATTTAGCACACTGTAAACTGTGTACAGTCCATTTCATCCAACCACTGCAACTACAAAACCTCGAGTTGTGATTCTGACAGATCTAACAAGTTGGGCTGGTGGGGTCAGTAGTTGGATCAGAGATTCAAGATCCATCTAGGTACTCCAGAAAGAAGTATCAATGATTCTGTAGATGTTGCTCTTTCCTCTCAAGCAGAACTGAACTAATACCTCAGCATGCTTAGGACACTGTGCTGTTTTTCAGATGATAGTAAAACCAAAGTTCAGACCCACTTGTGGTCATGAAAAATCCAATTTTTGAAGGAGCGGAAAAGGTTGCACCTTCATTGGTGGATGACAAGTGTCCGTAATAGTTTCCGTATCAATTTGGAGTGTGCTTTGGATCGCTGGAGATCGAAAGGCACTATCAAATTTAGAGTACTATAATAAAAGGAAACTGCAGTGCATTCTGTTTTACTGTACCCACACTGCCTTGTATGACTTAGGATCCCTGTGGGAGTGAAATAAGGGGGCTCTTTTTTAAAAGAAAAGAAACAACAACGTTTGTATCCTAGTGCAATGTCACCACAGAACTCCCTACTGAATGGCCAAAGAGAGAGAGAGAGAAGAGGTAAGCCGCAAATCAGCTGTACCTCTTACTCTCAGCCTTCCTAACAACTCAGCACAGATGCAGAGAACTGTAAATTGTGGCGATTAACATGGCTTCACAAAACCGTCCAGCTAACAGCACAGTAAGTCATGGGGGGAAACCACTTCTTTCAAACACTCAGTACAATCAGGGCTCCTTATGAGCGTCTACACGTTGGGAACGTGCTAAGCAAGTAAAAATCTTTGCAACAAACTTTACAACAGCTTTACAATAGCTATTATATATCCCAAGCAGTACTCTCATTTGAAGAGGAGGCAGTGTCAGTAAACAAGAGACTAGGCTGGAGAAAGCCCTCTCAGGTTATGTCTACACAGGGATAAGAAAACTGCAGCTGTCCTGGGTCAGCTGACTTCGGCTTGTGGGGCTCAAGCTCTGGGGCTGAATAAGTAAACATTCAGGCTTGGGCTGGAGTCCAAACTCTGGGACCCTGCGAGGATGGAGGGTGCCAGAGCTCAGGCTCTAGTCCAAGTCGAAACGTCTACACAGTGATTTTTAACCCTGCAGCCCAAGTCCAGCAAGCCTAAGCCAGTTGACCCAGGCCAGCTGTAGCCATGTCGCAGTCTTTTATCCCTGTGTAGATGTACCCTCAATGTCCCCCATCACTGGATTCTCACTCTGTTTTAGTTCTCTTCTCTTCCCTTCTTCTACTCTCTGTGGGTGACCAGAGAGAGGGAACTGTAAAAAAAAAATCTCTCTTCTAAAATGTAAACTCACTTGGAGACTGGTGAATAGAACAGCAAGTCAAAGATGAATCAATGCAGCAAAGTGTGTGTACATTGCCATGTTGTCATTAGTTAAATAGAATTATGGTGACTCTAAACATATTTTAAATGAGAGTGGCAAATTTAATTCTCATAACTCAGCATATGTTGAATGCCATGTTGTTTTAAATGCAGCAAAATGGATAAGGTAAAGTCAGAAAATACCAGCATATGCAAAGAGGACCAAGAATCAGCAGCAAGAATTTTATTTTATTAGGCCGAGACGGTAAAGCCTCATTTTTCCTCTTTTACACTGGCTGTCATTTCACTAAACAACCCTGAAATCATTTGTTCCTGATACTGTGAACTGAAAAATCATAAAGCAACAATTTGGATTGCTTTAGGATGCAAAGATTCCAAACAGCAATGCATATTAGAAGCTAATACATTTCTTATTCAGCAGCTCTATGCTCTTCAGCAGAGAAAAAAAACACAAAAAACAGATTAGCCTACAAGTGCTGGTAGATCACAAAGCAAACTACTTTAAACGTTGACATTAGGACACATGGACTCCAGTTTAGCTCATGTACAGCTTACTCATTTGACCCTTTAGTTACTGGGCTACAAGACAAAGCAAATATTTAACACCTGAAGTTGCTGTTAGTGCACCCTACCTCGTCTTGGCCAAAAGAGTTGGAGAGCAGTACCCAACTGATGTCTGTAAAAGGTGGGAGACATATTATAAAGATTGCTTGGAAAGACTAATTAACTACTCAAGATCAATCCCAAACCCATGAAAGGGATGGCATGGACACCAAGCCTGCTAGCACTACAGAGTTCAATTTCTGGATTTCTTTAATATATAGCGCTGAAATGGTCAAACTGTCTTTTCAAGTGCCATGAAAATGCCAAGTAAGATACTATATTTTCAAAATAGAAAGCGACACAACACGCTCATTACTGGTCTTTAACATATATTATCGTTCCATCTTTTAACACCATGTTCACATAGACAATATGGTGATAGCACTGTGTGGACGCTACTGACTCATTAGAAGGTATCACAAAAATCAGTCTGACTTCTACCCACAAGGGCCAAAATAAAGGTAACCAATGTAAAAGCCACATTTGTAGTATCAGGGCTTATACCCACTGCAGGCTGCAACCACTAGAAGGTAACATTATCTCTTTAGAGATTTCAGTAGAAATGGTAGTTTGTGTCATAGTGTTGAGCCAAAAGAGAGTGCTATGATCACACAGATTTGAGTGTCACACTCCATCGAGTGGACGGCCATGGTGCATAGTGTAGTGGTGGACAACCGCACCAATGTAGTGTACTATTATTCTAAATATTGACAATAACATAATGGAAATGAGAGATATACTCTAGGAATTATTACTTTGGGTTTTATGGCCTGTGTTCTACAGGAGGTCAGACTAGATGATCATAAAGGTCCCCTCTGGCTTTGGAATCTATGGACTTTCAAAACATGTATTACAGCTTTTTTTCCCCCTAAACATTCCAAACTGGAGTCTGATATCAAGTTCATTGAACTCTGAGCACCAACAACTCAGAAAACATCTCTCAGGATCAGAGCAAATTCTGAAAGAAGGAACTCCAGAGTGAACAGAACACAAGTCTGACCACTGACAAATACCCATACTGGGCTGATTTTTCATAGCAAAAGCTGTGTAGTGATGTGTAACATAAGCACAAATCATTCCTCCTCTCCAAAGTATTCTGACAATACAGCATCAAACCTACCAGGTCAGCCAGTGATTCAGCAAGCCCTTTTTGTTATTTCTGTTCTAGTTACTACAACAGCGTCTCACTACGTTTCCCAAGCAATTGAGAAAACTCAGGTCTGGGTGGAAATTGCTGAGGGTAATTGTGTAATTCAAAGGGTCAGTGGCAGAGCCTAGCAATGATTTTCTATGTTCCATTTGTCAACAGTAGGTGGTTGGGGTAGTTCTCCCCTCCCACCAAGGTGCAGCATGATGAAAGTAAAGCGAATGGTCCTGGTCTGAAGAGTTGTGTGGACCCGGCTGACCCAGAGGTGGCAGGAGCAGGAGGGAGAGTATAAGACCAGTGGGACTTACTGCCGAGGATGAATGAAGGTGAAAGAGGAAGTCTAGGACTTTGGGGGAGAGGTCTGTCAAGAATATATAAGAAAGTGAAGTCAGCTACTTCTTCCCCTGAGTCCCAAGGAAGCTGGATTGTGGGGATCATAAGGTCCAAGATGAAACTACAGGAAAATCAGTTTTAATTTTTTTGCATTCTCATGTAGCTCTAGGGTATACTGGGCCATTTCCACCATCCCATTGTACTGCAGTAGTAAGTGAAAACCTATTCATTCTTTTTATTTACTTGCAGCTTAATAAAAAATGCAGGCCGCCCCTGCCCCTCCCATCCCCACTTTAGGAGTAGCTACATTTTGCAACAGCGGGAAACTCACTTCTCTATCTGAATCATAATTCTCTCATTCTCAAGTGCAGAGAATCTAAGCCTTATCACACTGTTCAATACTGGTTCCTGGATCTAATTTACTGCTTGTCCTGCCTTAAACATTTAGGCACTAGTTAGTATGAGCAAGGAATTTTCATAAATGTACAAACACCTAATAAGACAAAATGACATGAAGGCCTATGGACTGGATCCAGCTAATTAGATATGACATGGCAAGTTCTTCATCTCTGTGCAAACTTGAAGAGTGAATATTTGCTTGAGAGAACACCTATAAGTCTCTGTAAAGCTCACAAGTTTTTAGACATGGTGAAGGCCTTAGGGAACTTTAGACTTCAGAATTTGGTTACAAGGGCCAAAGGCTCTGCAGCCAGATGTGTGCAGTTGATCTGTTTTTCATCTATCTTAGTTCAAGATGGGCATTTCCTTGTAAGCAACACAACTCTCCTTTGAGACAAGATCAAAGCAAAATCAAAAGAAAAGTATATGAAAATGATGACATCTCCTACAGGATCACAGGATAATTCCAGGCAGGATCAATAGAGGTTAGCATCCCCAAGGATTCAATTCCTGACCCACATTTGGCTTGATTTATTAAGCAGCATAGTCAGGTGGGATTGGTCTATGTACAATTTTAGAATGAAATAGAGATGAGCCTGAGCAGGCAAGTTTTGATCAATAAGCTCCTAATCTATATTTCCCCCAAAATTCAGATGAGTATTTCTGTAGTCCATAAGAAACAGTGGTCAACAAGCCTGAATCTAGAATCAAACCTTCCCAAATTTCAGGTGTGTTTGGATTCTGGGTCCAAATTCTGTGCCATATGTAGAATAAACCATAAATA